CTCCTATGCGGGTTCGAATCCCGCTGAATGCCGCGAGTTTTTTCACGATTGGGTCAACTAAACCAACGATTGTTTGGAACACATTCAATACTTTGGGTGTGCCGCGTCTAGTGTAATAATCTTTCTTCCACGGCTCGTCCGATAATATGGCAAGTTTTACGAGGAAATACCCTGAAGTTCCTGCAGGAGTTTTCCATCCCAAAACTTCAGTTGGCAAGCGAAAATGCCGTTTATTTTGAACGAGGCGCAGCCCCTTATCATCTTTAGTTTGGTGAGTGCTTTCCAAAACGTTCAGTTTTCTGACAGTTTCATCGTTTCTTGGTGTCCCCTAGAATGTTCTTGCGCTCCACTGATATCGAAGCTTGTGCCCTTTTGTCTGGGACTAAAACAAAAGCACAGTTAAGGCCTCTAAGCCCCGTGATCGGTCACAGAGATGCAGCGAAGTAGGAAAGAAGAGTTTACAAATCACCGGAGATACGTACTTTTCAAAATGAGTGAAGATTATCGAAAATGTATTCTGGCGCAGCGTTGGACACGGGTAGCATGACTGGTCTGGTGATTATAGAAACCGAGTAACTTTTTTTTCCAGTGTCCTTATTTTAGAATTGATTAAATGCCTATGGTGAGTTTTGATCCGTCCTGTCATATCGAGTTTTTAACTGAGCACCATTGACAAAAGTGGTATTTTGGTCATTTTGGCAGCAGGTACTTTTTTAGAATTATCATGCTGAATGTGTGCTTAATTTTTTGACTGTGACACTGGCTGCTAATCTACAACTGTTTTGGGGAAATACAGGTCGGGGCCTATTTTTCAAGTGGTATAATTCTGATGACATTCTATTGACGAATCTACCAATGTTTTGACTTTGGACAGCACATATGCTGGCGGTCATATGTAGTGATCACTTTCGGCTACTGGGACTAACACCGGTAATCCAAACAGGCTTTCAAGATATCATCCATCAAAACAATAAAATGTCACTGTTCGCCAAGTGGACTTGTTTCCTAGTCTTCTTAGCGTCTAGTATATAGCCTTACGAAAGCGGCATGTATGTATGACTAGACTCTGTTGTAACTTTTTTCTTCATCAAATTCTATTCACCCAAGCTCATTCTTCTGCCCTGAAACACAGTTATCCTACTAGCGCCAGTCGGTATCTAGTTTACTATATTTATCTCAGGAGTTTCAGTGTTGCAAGTAGTAGATAGGATTTATAAACCGAAATGCTTTTCTGTGTTAATGTTTGCTTTCAAATAAAATTGCCTTGTGGTGTATTAAGGCAGCGATAAAATGAACAGCTCATCAGAAATGGCGTTGAATACGCAATCTGCGTCAAAATGTCAAATTTAAGTTTCACTATAAGTGGAAAGCAAATTCCAAGTTTGCATTAAGCCTGTGAATCTTTATGCACATTTTCTGTTGCCGAGGCCGATGTCAGGTGGCAACCGCATTTCGCTCCCACCCCATGGTGATAGTTGTTCAGTCTGCGCACTTGACAGTGGTTTTCACTCTGCATACGCAACCCAAGAGCATTGCTTACAACCTTCCCTACTTCCTGCCTCCCCCAGTTCCAATGACCTCAACACGCCGAGCTCGCCATGCGGATGAGGTAAGAAAGATAACATTTATACGTAGACTTAAGACGTGAACCTTTAGTAAGATATTGTGGACTGTAAACTATAATAAGTAAGTAATATTTTATAATATGCAAGACCCTTGCAAATTTACAAATGCTGATGATAATATTTTTCTTATGACAATTCGTTAATCTGTATGACGCTGAGGTGGACGGATGTTCCACAATTATAAAAATGATAAATTGGCCTAGTGCAGATATTATTCGAGTCAAAACAAACCAACTGGATAGTCATAACATCCTTTAGAAACTTTTATTCAGCTAAAGTCTGTGTGTGAGTAGATCAAACAGCCAAAATACTCAAGTTGGCAAAAGTCAGAATTCTGGGATAGGAAACATAGATCATTTTTGGCTGACTGGAGTGAGTTTGTTGGTTAGCTGGCTTTTTGGATCGCGGGGCTGGCTGTCCTTTGTCAAATCGTGAACTGGCTTTGTCGATCAGCCATTCGAATTTGTGGCTGTGTGTGACTAGCTACAACTTCGACATTCAAGGAGCAACCATCGTCGGCCGGAGAACCTCAAAAACGGAACGACTAATGCCTGAGGCATGGTACTCAGACGCCAACTCCGTCACCGGGCATCTGGACCATCTTGCGTCCTACAAAGTCCTACGCCATTACATGGGTAAAGGACAGGACCAGGTAAAACCAAACTTCGGATTTGCAAAAAAAGGTGGCCCGTGGCAAAACCACCGGAAGCTGGAGCAGGATTACCAGCACCCTTTATCGTGAGGACGGAATACAACACTGACTGCCGCCAAGTTATACCGAAATCCACAGGGAGGGCCAAGCAGTGAGTGTAGAAAAATCGATCAGTCCATGATCAACAAACACAGCCATAACTTTTAATTGCTGATCAATAAAGTCGTTTGACATTTTGACAAAAGAAAGCCGACCCAGCCGTCCAAAACGTCAGCGAACCAAGAACTCGTTCCAGTGAGCAAAAAATAATGTATGAGCCAAAATACTCTCATAAATTTGTAGTTCGATATTTGGCTTTTCAACTTTATCTTTAATCTTAGGTACCAGAGCAGGTCAAATTAAAATGCATAGTGCATTCACGACTACACTGCGCGATTGAATGCACTACAGTAAAAACTAATGGCATTGAAAAAATTCTTAACGCCAACACGTGAAAAAAAATGAGAATTAAATACTGTTGTCTCCATCCTCACAATCTACTAACACTGTCTACTCTTGTACCATAAAATGCTTGCAATGAAAGTGCAATACATTTCTGCGTTCGGTTTTTAAGTAGGATAATATGAAATTGTCCAAATAGTTCGCCGCTGTTTGGTACAGTGGTTAACTTATAAAAATCATTGCATTCTATGCATTAATTATGTACAGGGCGTTGTCGTTTTTCAGTGAGGGAGGTGAGTAATCAATGATAAATATGAACCATTAGCACTTACCTCGCTGGCTTTATCTGGCCCATTTTGCGTACTCGAACATTGCAATAGGTCACACGGGGAAATTGGCCGGTGGTCTCCCAGTCGACACCACTCATCAGGTTATTGAGAATATCAATTCCAAAAGTACTGCTGTTGCTGCCAATAAAGTGTTGCATAAGATAGATCTGGCCGACAGAGTTTCCGACAAACAGCAGTCGAACAAGAAAGAAGAGGAGTGTAATTTGAATGTTTGGTCGAATGCTGCAGAATATCCTCTGTAGGGTACTCCGCACACGTTTCTGTCTGGCTGTGGACTCGGCAATTTCTTCCAGTGTGGCCACCAGACAGGACACCGCCTTCTGACGGAGTTCTCTGTCCGGCACGGCCGCCTCCCGGGCAGACCGCAGCAGGATGGGAAGACGTTTGGAGCCCACTCGCCAAACCAAGTAGGGGACCCAACTGAGCATTGCTTGACCAGCAAGTACAATTACTATCCACTGATAGTAGCCGACGTATTTTTTACTACTGATTTCAAATTCATCCTCTGGTACGTCTTCGTTGGGAAGCAGAAAGTAGGTGTTCTGTATCCAGCAGAGGTTTTCTGCGTACTCCTCCCAGGGGTGTTTAAATTCTTGCGGCACCCAGCACTGAATAGGCTTGCCTAAAATGTCAAAGAAGTAAATTTGTCATAAATCTGAGCATTTTTGGGGTAGCGTGGTAAGTACAACGTAAGTATTACTAAGAGCTCAGTTGGTGTCTAATCCCTATCGAACTATAGTTTAAGATCGCAGCAGCTGCAGCGGCTGAGTTAAGGTACAACCAATAGCACTACGGATCGACGAAAATGAAACCGCCTTCCAAAGTTCTTCCCTTTAAACTTAGAGCTCCCCCAGAGATCTTCCTAAATTTTATTATATTTAGTATAAAAGGTATGGCCTATAACATATGGTAGTACTTCGGTTGGTATTTACTTCTATGTGATAGATGTTGATGACCCTTTGGATCACGCTAATCACTGATTTATTCCCGTTGTGCTTCTTGCATGCTAAATCCCTGTTGCCTTTATAGTTCTCGCCCACAAAAAATCGAGGCGATACAACATGCTGAGTTGTCAGTCCTCGAAATTAGCCTCAGTTCGACAATTGAAACGACTGGCCTAATACTGCAAACCAGTGAGTCATAGATGTGTGTTAGACGATTTTCTTTACTAAGGTTATTTTTGGTATTCACAATAAAAGGAAGTAACACACACTGAGCAAAAATTATCAGACGATAAAGAAAGATAATTTAGGGAGTATTTCAATTATTTGTCTATCCAAAAACTTTTGGTCAGAATAGCTTACATAGCCATCCGAGAAGACACACGAAAGGGAATTTTGCCTCAAGTAATACAGGTGTCCTTTCGCCAAATCTTACGAAAGTTGCATATTCCCATGTTTCAATACTAACATTAATTCGTACCTTTATATGAATACTCATTTCACGCCAACCTAACTCAACCCTAAACCTCAGTCCAACCCAATGTTTAACCCTATATTCCCTGTGACTTAGAGTGAAGCCATCAATATCATAGATGGTTCCTGCTCTCATATTGTGCCGAGAGCCTACAACGTTTCAGATTGATACAATTCTGTTATTGATTTCAAAATTTACGACAAGCAAAAAATCTTTCACAAACGTGCAAAATATTCGCATGTCATCAAGTGTTACCTAATTATAATGAGACTTCTGAGACACAGTGTAGCATATCACGATTTGGGAAGTACAAAACGCTTGAGTTTTTCTTTAGAAATGTTACAATTTGGTGGTTAAGCGGCAGTATCGCTTTCGAGAGTGTATACCGTAAATGACGTCATACGTCTCAACGACGGCAAAGGTGTTTCACAAATATACGACATGCGATATTTTTTGTTAAATTTCTAAAGAATCTTTGTTGCTATTTTTTATTAAGATTCGCTTGCTCGATTAAATCTTGACATATTCCTAGACGTGCACTACACTATCACACATTATATTCGCTTTCAGCACTACCATTTCGTACAGACGCCACTGATTCATGAGTAGTAGAGACCTATTTATAGTATGATAAATAATCTTCATCTATTTTACGCCTACAGGAACCTGACTCGATTAAAATCGAAGGATTGGAGCAGACAACGAGGGGAAGCCGCTCTAGTAACGCTTGATGATCAATGAACCCTGGTTTAGATAAGGCTGGTTGACGATAGTTAACGAATCACGGATGGTTATCCACATCTTCTTTTGCCATTGTCGGGACCCCTTTCGACATGTATTCCTAGGTTTCGTGTGGCCGCTTAAAAAGACCCTACATTTAACTACAAATAATAGTGGAATCAGCACGGCCTGTGAACGCACTTCCAACATAGGCTGATATGGCAAGGCTTCGGGTGTCATATGGTCTCTACAGCTCCAACAGTTGCCATCGCACAGGTGGAACACAAAGTTACGCATTCAAACAATGCAGACGCTTTCAAGACAGCATCTAGCACAGGGATCATACGCACTTTCCCATGGGAAAAGTAATCAGACCGTCATAAGTTTGCGCTGCAGACAGCGTATTTATACTGACTATAATAGGGTGCATACTGATCCCTCTTTTTCCCGGGGCCAGCATGCTCGAATTGGTAGCGCAGGTAAAAAGCAAGACCCCTTGAACCACGCGTGGAGTGTTCTGTTTACGAAAGTGCACGTTTGGTACGTCGATATGGAGAGGATAACTAGTTTAAGACAAACGTAGTTCAGTGGCATTTATCAAGATAAGGCAATCTAAGATTAAAAGTGTTTTTCTGGTGAAATAATTTGAAGAAATTTCATTTATTTCTGACACGCTAAGGGTACAGTTTAAACGTTTTAAAACCCAGTGTCTGGATAAATGTGATTAAACTTCCATGTCCGTAAGAATAATAACGCCCGCAGGCTCTCGGCTTCAAAAGTACGTTTGCAAAATTGAATTTCAATCAATATGAATTATACCAACAGTCAAGACGTCTTATTCAAGCCACCCAAACAATTTTATTAGGAACACCCGAAAAACTGCTGGAAGACAGTAACTTTTAGTCCAGACAGTTTATTTTTCCAGACAAACAAACAACAGCTGGTTGAGATTTTTTTCCTACAAAAGTACTAAACCAAGGCTAGCGTAGATTGCAGTCTAACACAACTTGGAATACGCGTTATGATACAGAGAGGACACACTCTATAACGAATCGGCGGCTAGAATTTGCTGATCCACGATCCTAGTGATACAAATTCCATAGCGTAATTGCGGCAACGGTCCCCAACACTGCATTAAAAGGAGCACTGCAGTCATATTGGCCATGGCAGAAGGAGCTGCAGTCAGTAAGCGATCTCATGCCATGTGACGCAAAAGCTTACAAGTTATGCTTGATTAAGGATGCTTCCTTTAATAGACTTTCTTAAGGGGAGAGCATAATCTTATGCTATTCTAGACTCGTGAGGATGTCGGCTTTTAAACGGACGGCGTTTGGTCTTCTGATAAACCTCACTCGATAGAAAATTCCTACTCAATAATGGGCACTGTGTTCAATAGAATGTTGATGACTTCATACATTACACATATTTATTTTTACTCGACTCATGAAAAATCACACTTATTCTATATGTCATACCTAAAAGTGGGGTACATTTAGGTTTTAAGGAACTTTTCTAATTCCTGAAGAAGGTTGATGCCAGTCTGCTGGTCAAATGCGTTGGAGGTTTTCCGTTTATAAATTTTATCTCTTCCTTCGGGGAAACGTCAACTAGCCCTGTATGTCACTGAGAAGATAGCGCTCATTAGTCATGCAATTTTGTTAGGGATGTCGACTTTATCGTACACTTCAGGAGAGGGATTAATAAACGGGTAGATACCATGCCATTTGAGCGAAAAGCTACAGACTCAAAACGTTTCACATTTAAAAGAACGTTTTTTTATTCCAAAAGACAGTCCGGCGTGTTCGGCAACCGTACGTTTTTCAAAGTAGGGAATCAAAAATAATTGCAAAAGAAAGTTACTACTATCAATTCAGCGTCGAAATCAGCGACGAATTTCCAATCCTTTCTCTTGCAACAGTGACTTTAGAGGCGGTATCTTTTGACCAATAATTTGGGGCGAAGAATTTATTGTTTAACCAATCAAACCGTGTATAGTCGCAAGCAATTAAAATTTCCTCATTTTATGCCGCAATTTGGGTTAATGGTCTAATAAGGAATATAGTGTGGCTGGGTGGACTTGACCTCGTGTGGCAATGACCCTTCACGAATCGACGCACATCACAAGTGTGGCCATGCAATCTGACTCACCGGCATTTGACCGCTTGGATAGATCTGGGTTAATTAATGGAACTGAAAGCTCTTTTGGCAAAATTCTAATTCCAACAAGCATAATTTAATTCTGCGAAGACAGGCTAAAGTAGAAATTAATACATCTGAAGATTAAGAGTGAAATGAAAATTTTGTTAGATTTAAGAGTATGCAAGACAATAATGGTTTGTTATCCAAAATGTGGAAATAATTACCTCCTAGATGAGCCAACCGTGACTATTCTTATTTTGCTGACACCTACTGAGTATAGACGGAACTGTGTTTATAGGCAGGTTCTGATTTTGCGGAGGCTATGGCCGAGATAAGCATAGAAAGACATTAGCGCTGCATGATAATTTTTGACAAAAAGAATTTTTTTAAAAGGCTCGCTCTATCGGCCTTCTCGGTACCCAATAAACTCGCCACACGTAATGTGGCATTTATAAATATAAACCGTCTTCATACTTATGTACTTTGTAGAACATCACAGACTTTCAACCCTAAAATAAGCTTAAACGTACTTTCTAGGCGTTTCGGTCTCATAGGGTCTTTGGGCTTTGTGACCCGGACATTAATTGACAGATTTTATGCATATTAATGGGTGGCTTTTCTCTCTATATTTGCTCTATCATTGCATTGGAAAAGCGCGGTTTTTAAGGATCACAGTTTGCTATAGCTTGATCACGCCAAAAGTCAGGGACATATTTACCACGTCTTCAAGGCAATAGCAGTCAACGTTATACTCTGTGGACTTAAATGGGTAAAACTTCCCGTTTTATGAATAGCGTCCTTAGTAATATAATGTTTATGTAAATTTGATAAGGAATCTTCATTTACAGTATAAACCATCTGTTCATAGGGATACTGAATGCAAAGCAAATGGCATAGCCAGTAATTGATAGAATGTCAAGTAATACGGAAAGTATTAAAATTATAGAGGTTGATATTCAGGATAAGCATTCGCATATCACCAGAGTCCTTGACAATTCACACCACTCCACCTTGGTAGTATCGCTTATTAACTACTAGCTAGCCTGAAGGTTACATTAAATTAACGTACCTCTGATACCCGTGGAGTTTAAAGATAAGTCCCCGCAAAACTCTACAGAATGTTTCAACTAAAATAACATATGCATATCTCGGCGATTCGTTCATACGCATATATAATGGGACATCTAAGTCTTCCTTTCCGTTAAGAAGATAACCAAGTGCCTGTCTGAAGTATATGATATGATACTTTACTTACGGTCCTGAGAAAAAGAACACAATCTGTAATATATGCTTAATGCAGATCTCGCTTTCAGTCGTTGAAATTGGATATGATGCCCCCAAGTTGCATTTTTGTTTCGCTTTGGGCTCCTGAACACCTACTTTAGTACTTTTAGTCCGACTATCAAGACCTCTAGTGGCACATATTAGCTGCTTACTTATATATGCTTGTTAAATATCCACAATAATAGGGCGTTTAAATAGATAGAATGTTTCGATCAAAGGTACTTTACATTCCTCTGGTACTGTGTCTATACATGGTAGAACTTCGACAGACAATGAAGCAAACAACAGCCACCGAAGTCTAAAGGGCAACCAACCAGATGAAATGTAAGAGAGAATTTCGCGTAGGTGTGGTAGATGGCCATATCTTGACAGAAAGGTTTGTTTTCTGTGATGGCCCGCATTCAAAAACGACCATCTCTACTGATTCCCTTTTAGTGCGATGGGCTTTTTGGGTGTAATACTGGGAGGATACCTTACGTCGTCACGGTAGACACAATTTTGATACCACAGCGAACAAACGAAAATCATACTTTTGAATATGTAGCCATTCCTGTGGAAGCGAAGGAACAAAGTCCACACAGAGAGTTTCTCGTCTGTTACAAAGCTACCTGCCACTCTTTAATGGCTGCGACATATAATTAAAGTCTAGCAAGTCGGAGGTTTTGAAATACTACAGTCAATATCCTCAGAAGCACAAACAGGTTTGCTGACGTTAGGTATGCACACGAATGGAACACAACTGCTAGACGCCAACTTCTAAAGAGCTTCAGTCAAACACATTCAAGAGCCGCTCACCTGGACTGCTAAACATGCTCAGAAATATCCGCCCTATCAGCCCACCTGTACACTTTCACTGTGGGCGAATTCACATCAGCAAGAAAGCATATACTTTTGAGCACTTGGTTGGAACTCGCGAACAGCGCTATGGAACCAGGATATGTAATCACAAGTGAAAATATTTGCTGCTTCTGCGAAAAGGACAATTTGGTCTTCCAACAGAACCGCATACAGCAGTGAAAGCCAAAGGAGGAGGCGAGTATACAAAATCCTTTTATGATAGCCCTATTTATACTACAAAAAGTATTTATTTTAGTTGACCCAATTGTGAAATAACTCACGGTATTCGGTGGGTTTTGAAACTGCATAGTAAGCAAGGCCTCACCTATGGTACGCCTACCAACAACTGAAGCAATATACTGCGTCTTTTAAATTCAGAAAGCGCGCGAAAGACAACTTAAGGACTCCTCCACATCATCACATCCTCTTTTTGCTATCCGTTTTGAGGTTTGAAATAACAATTTCAGGGAATAATCTGCCCACCAAACGCTCTCCAGGTTCCTCAAAAGGGACAAATGAAGAGTTCTAAATGTTCTTATCTACTGTGATGATTTCAAAAAAAAGGTTTCTATACCAACTACACCCCCATAAATACCCACTTATACCGCATAATATCTCCTTATATGATGTTCGCATATATAAGATTGCACATTATGGTAACAGCTGTGAAGTTGGTCGTGCAGGTAATAAGGGTTATTTAAAGTTCGAGCAAGGAATATGCGTAGGGTGCTGGGATAATTGTTACTTAAATGTCGGCGCAATGCCAGTTAAAATGCGGTAGGTTACCATTTTCGTGGTTAAGCCAATGTTTTTATGACTGACGGTCAGAATCCAAATAGACATCTCATTGTATTTTTACATCCGCGGATTAGCGGAACTTAAATTCAAGCGGAAGTGTTAGTAAAACTGACGACCGGAAAAGCGTATTAAACTCCATCATAAAATGTCTTCTTTCCGTGGTGCTTAAAACGGGTCATAACCTATTGTGTATTGCAAAAGACCAAAGAACCTGTGGAATGCGATCTACATCGTCTTAAAATGCCTTACATTTGACATAAAATGCATTAAATTACCCTAAGGAATTCCTATCTAAGTAAACCGTTCATAAAACTTACATATCCTTTGAAAGCAGCTGATGTTTAAACACCGCGCAAACTTCACCCAACATTAGAGTTTGAAAATAAAAGCATAGGTAGTATT